AGCATGGTGCAAGTCGCCGTACTTTTTGAATCGGAGCTGCCGGAGCCTTAGAATAGTGTGTAGATGCGACCCAAGCTGATATTATAGCGCCTCTGGCAAGTATGTCATGTATACATATATATATATATATATGTGCACGTATGTATGTGTATCTTTATATACATATATATATATATACATACACGTACCTGAATATGATGTTGTACTAGATCATGTACTCAAAATGATGCTTTTTTCCATGACCGCCTCTAGAGAATCCGAAGGCCAGAAAGGCCGGAACCCCTGACCCTCAGCTAAGCCCCTAGTCCTAAACACCACAAAGCCCGTCATCCCTCAAGAAAACTCAATACAACTCTCTAAACCTCAGGAATCCCTGCAAACCCCTTGCAAGCCCGTAAACCCTAAACCCTAAAAACCTTCCGCACTGAGAGCTTAAGACCTCACAGGCCAACATGTGGACATCCGACCCGAGCCTTCCATCGGGTGGGCTGGTGGCTCGCAAGCAACAGCTAGTGTTACGGCTTTAGGGTTTAGGTTTTAGCCTTTAAGAGTTTGCTCCTTTGTCCGGTGGTCTTGCAGTCATCTCGTCTTTCCGAACCCTGAGCCTGCTTCACATCTTGGAATCCTGAGTCTTATGGACTTCGGCAACGACGGTGTCAAACCGTAGCCCCTTAACCCGAGACCCGAAACCAAAGGCCAACTGAGCGTTTGAAGGCCCACGAAACGCCAGCTCCAAAGGGTTTGATATAGAAGCCTTGAGAAACTATCTGCCAAAGCTAGTCCTGAATGTTGCTCGAAACCTTAGAGTCACATGCAAACCCTACTAATTACAATCATCAAGGCCCTTGCTAAAACCAAAAACATGATTTTTGTCAACCCTAAACGCTAAGCCCTAATTTGTCAACCAAAACCCTAAAGCCTAAACCCTAATTTGTCAACCAAAGCCCTAAAGCCTAAAGCCTCTGAGGTCATCTACGGTGTGGGGCCTCCGGATGGCTGGGACTTCACCAAGTACAACAGCGAGAGCCGCAGCCCGGAGATCCAGGAGGGGCTCATTGGGATTTTGTGGGGGGGGTTTATAGTGTTTACCCGTAGGCCCCAAAGTAGTTCCTTTTTTAGTTCCCTTTTGGGGTTCATATATAGAACATTATAAGGTACTCCCAAAAAGAAACTACTTTGGGGCCTATGGGTAGAGTTTTGGGGTTTCAGGGTTTAGCAGGAGTTTAGGGGTTCGGGGAGTAGGGCTTGGGATTCAGGGGTTTGAGGTTTCGGATTTGGGGTGTTTCGGGTGTAGGCCGTCGGAGGTTGCGGGGACTTAGGGTGCAGAAAGGGTGTAGCATAAGGCTTTCGTGCACGTGATAAGCTTAAGGGGTTTACGGGGGTTGAGGTTTAACTATTTGAGTTTCGGGTTTAGGACTTAGGGGCTTTGGGTTTTGCGGTTTAGGGCGCTTTGGAGCTTCGGAATTTAGAATTTAGGGTTTCTTGTGTCAGGTTCAGGGTCTTTTCACCGATTTCCTACGGTACCCAACCGAATCAGGTTCTTTGTTTGTGTCTGGGATGTATGGTTAACGTCAGGTGGGTTCCTTCTTAGGGGCACTGCTAGTACGGACGCGACCATTTGGGGTTCATTTCGGGGCAGAGCTTCGTGGATGCTTAATATGGGGGCCTATACTGTCGTGGGGGTTCCTTATTATGATTACGTATAACGGGCCCCAAAACCCTAATCTACTTAATTAGGCCCCTATAGTACCATTAGGAGGCCTCCCGGGTTCGCCGTCTTTGTGACGATGTCGACGGAACAGACTCCCCATGCCCGAATGTTGGACTCAAGGCCTTCCATGTCATGGTTAATCTCTGAAAGAAGTACTGCATCCACCTGGTCAGTGCACCTCGTCATGCCAGATAGTCTTATAGTTTACACATCAGAACAAGCATGCTGGTACTTAATTCGGCGGAAAGGGGCTGGGTTCAAGCGAACGCAGCAGCACTAACTTCAGTGCTACCGGCTAGCAATAATCATGACTCATGACCGTCACAGTTACATGCTCAGTCTGAGCAGTAATCGCAGCAACACCAGCAGCACTAACAATCATAAGACGAACATAGGAACAGCAGCCAACATCAGACCATATCTGCAAGCCTTATTCCCAAACTTGACATCCTAAGCCTTAAACCTCATAAATCCCCGGGCTCCAAGCCTCAAGCCCTCAATCCTATCAACCCTGAGCCCTACGCTCGTGGTCGGAAGGAGATTTTAGAAGAAGCTGGATATTGGAACCTCACCGTCCCGTACATCCAGAACCGCGCTGCAACATGGCTTCATTGACAGAAGCCGACGACAGGGACTGAGTAATTGGAACACTTGGAGGTTCATGGGTAGTTATAAGTGGGGTTATAAGTCCTTTAATATGGGTTATAACTATAGTTATCCTACTTATGACCCTACTTATGACTAACCATGAACCTCCAAGCAGGGTTGGGGGTACGTTAGTATTCACGACCTAGTTGGTTTTGTTTCTGTCCACCCCTCAATGCCTATCCCTACCAACCCTACAGACTCTTGGTCCCTGAGCTGCAAACCCCCAAAATTCTGTAGGCACTATACTCAGAACCCGCAGCCTTGAACACTAAACACGGAAACCGGGTCCCCAAATCCACTAAAGCCCTCAGCCCTCATTGCCAGCGGAGTTTCACATCTCAGGGAGTTGGATAGCATATAAGAGTGCTTGCAGAAAGTCAGAGTATAGCGGTCCTGTTTGCTTGAAGCAGAATGCGATTGCAGCATGATACATAGAACGTCAGCACCCATAGCCGTGGCACTCGACATAGAGCAGCAGGTTCCTCTTGTCAACATGTGGGTAGTAGTCAAAATTAAGGTCCCTTTTTGGGCACCCTAAATAATAGGTGCCGTATTATATTAGGGACCCAAAATGGGACCATAATTTTGACAAGCACCCATGTGGGGCTAGTGCGGATAGTCGCCCGAGTTGGCCCAAAGCTCTTTCATGCATGAACCCTAAACCCTGAACCTTGAACCCTAAACCCTAAACCGAGGTCCTTTTCGATTCTACATACCTGCACAGAACCGATGATTTGAAGTTCCGTGAGGGCAGCTTGGCGGCGCTCTAGAATCGAAATGGTTGCACATCCACGTTGAAGTAGCAGCCCATTTGGCTGCTTGATCAACTACTATGCACCATCCTCAATACCATCGCCAGTTTTGCCCCGTAATGAT